TAACATATGACTTGTGGATATTATATCGTCTCTATTGTGTTCCAGTATTCTGAGCAGTTATCTGTAATGGAAAAAGTGGAAGAAACTTGAAGAATATATAGTTCTAATAATTAAATTTACTTTATATCCAGATAGTAAATAACTGTATGGTTTTAAATTTTTAGTGTAATTGATAAGCGGTAACCATCCAATAACACATAAGAATGTAAAAATTGCATTGCTTGCTTTCAGACTCAGATAGCGATTGTCAAATCGCTCTGCTGATTTGGCAATGGTTAATAGCGTGAAATATTGTCCTAATATTTAATTTAGTCTTGTAAGATTAAATTCAAATTTAGAAAACTAAATTTCTGTTTATTGCCACAGTGACACGTCTCAAGCGGAAGATGAAAACCGGCAGCAGTCTTATAATATTAGATATAGTCTTAGCAATTTTCTTACAATTAGATTTACATCCAAATTAAAAAAAAAAATTAAGTTTACATTTTTTGTTTGTGAACATAAGATTCAAGATATTAGATATTGAAATTGTTAAGATTAATTGTGCGTATTTTGTTGAATACAGCGAGAATTTTTTAAGTTTATTACAATATTTCATCGCATAATTTGCCATTATAAATATAATATTATATTATGTTAGTTATTTAAGAATGTTCTGTATCTTTCTTTTCATATCTTATGTCTTAATCGTTTAGGTGAGAAACGAAATCTGGACCAAAAGCCTGCAGGATTATCTTCAGGTACGTTTAATGTATAATATGTTGAGAGATATATCATAAAAGAAAAAAGATATATCTATCCATAGAAAATTTTATATTTTCTATGGATGTTTAGATTATTTGATATATTTTGTAAATAGGAAATGATCAAAATGTAATGGCGGAATCTGGAAATATTCATGTCGGCAACGGTCCACCTCTACCTCCATCTTCGCCGCAGGCGCCATGGCAAAATCATCACGTGAGGATTCCTTGGGGTAGACCACCACCTATTCCAAGGGAAGGGGAACCTCCTACAGTCTGTCCCGGATTACCTCCTATTAATATGCCTCCACCTCAGATCAGGTCACGAGGTAAGCATTTGATTTATTTGTCACATCAAACTATTTATATCTTAAAATCTTGAATTTTAAGTTATGTTTTCTCTGTTGTAAATTACCAACCATTTATGAATATATCAGCGTTCCTCGATATAAATAATAAAAGACAAAGAAATATAATAAATCTGCACATTATTGTAATTCTTATATGCACAATATGACAATTGACTAGTCTTTAAGGATATGATACTGTTCTCAGGTCCCACTGATGGTAATCGCTCTCCTACTCAAACCGCCGTGTTAGAGCAGCAGTTAAACGTTGAATACAATCAAATACCGCCCTATACGACGAAACCGCCGCCTTACAACGCGCATCCATTGATGCAATCGATCTGCAATCCGCCACCGCCACCACCGCCGCATCATCAACAACCGCGACCGCAGCATCCTGCACAAACGGTACAGCATTATCAGGTGCCAATCTCTCAGACATATCAACCATCGACGTCCTGCCCACCATGGATGAACTAAAAATCATAAAACTACAGTAGACAGTATTTCTTGTTATGTCGCTTCCATTTGATGATGTGATTTTGATGAAAGTGACATGAACATGATGAAAGTGTTGTTTTGACAAAGACATAATAATGAAGTGCTGAGACTCAAGCTGCAAAGATCTGATAGATGTGAATAGTTAGAACTGCATCGTGTTACGTACACTCAATTGTATGTTCCTTATGGCAATTCTTATAATTTAATAATCTATTTTAAGGAAGGGGAATATTGAACTATATGTAAAAATTTGTAAAAAATGTTAAAGATTATTTATACAGTATAATTTAAATTGTATGCTAAAAAAGAGAGAGAGGAAGAGAACATGAATGAATGAAAGAAAAAGAGAAAAAGAGAAGTGTGAGATTATACATAATAATAATGTCATATACATACGTTTGCGAGATAGTTACTTATTATTAGAGATAGTTACTTATTTTGGTAGAATATATCTTCAGGATCACATAAAGAATTCTTGTATAGCATACACACACACATACATACACAATATGTATATAATACTATATACATACATACACATATATACATATATATATATATGTATGTATACAAGAAAAGAATATATATATATATTAGGTGTTGGAATTAATTCGTAGCGTAAGATAATAGCGTTATTATTTTAAATAAATTATTCTACCATTGCGCATTCAAAGATCACTTGTTTTGGGTACTCTCATGCGAGGAATAATTATAGTTTCCTCTCAGTGAAACTGTATCATCTCTCCATTTACTTATAGATAGGTATGTAACACGTATAAACAATGTATGCAGTTAATGCAGTTTTTTTATGCAAAGCCAATAATAAATCGTTATTGCCAATTAAATAGCTATTTTCATGTCGACAGCCTTTGTCTATCGTCACGTTTTTGCCACGCAGAATGGATTGCCGTTTTCCACATCAACGCGATTTGGCAAACAACGATAAAACCGCACCGTTTCCATTTGCAGCGAGCAATCGTCGCAATTAGCCCCGTTAAACGCCGCCGGGTTGACGGGTGGAGGGCAGTAGCGGCAGTAGCAGCGACGGCGATCAAATCCTGACCAAGGCGTCCGTGTTCCAGGGCAAGCAAGGGAGTGACGAGGGGATGAGGTGAAATTCCGCTCGATACAAATTCGATAAAGCCGCCGGCGGCCCGCAGGACTCGCTCGTTATCCGGATCTGGCGGTCTGTTAGCCGCTACGTCAGAAAACTTGCAACCTTTCCGTGTGTTACGCGACCGCGTTCCCGATACTTCGGGGAAGTTTAATTTGCTGGATAGCGAGGCGCACTGTAACATCGTTCTCGCGGTGAATTCTTTCTTCAGAAGCGAAAGCTCGAGAAGGAATTTTTGCCTCGGCTTGAAGCATTTAATCTCCAGAAATTCAATGCTCCGCTTGAAATTTACGAAAATTAATAAGGAGAGATCGAGTTTAATTTAGAAGAGATCTTTAAATTTAGTCTTGTTATAGTTACTTTATTTTTAATCTGTTGACGAATATGTTAACATAATAATATAATATAATTTTTTTAAATATAATATATATAATTACTTCAAGATGAAAATATTCGTCTTGAAATAGTTATATATTATATTAACCAAAATTATATTATATTATTATGTTAATATAATATGTGTCAAGATTAAAAATAAACTAACTATATAAAAAGATTAAATATTCGTATAAATATTCAGTATAAATTATCGGAGAAATATACGAAGTAACAATCGCTAAATGTTGCCTTGGATTATCAAAAGTGAAACTAATGACCATGTCACATGCGTGCGAATACGAATTGACAAATTACACGCGTCAATTGTGATATTGATCGGTAACCTTCCTCGGAAATATTTTGTGCTTCGTTGGATAACAGGCGATAAAGGCTGCGTCTCGACTATTCCGAATTTCCAGAATCGATCATTGTAATCAGGACCATCGCCTGAACTGGTTACCACATCACAGAGATGCTTGCAGCGACCATAATCGCTTTTCGGTAATGTCGCTTTGTCCGTCGTCGTCTCATCAGCTTGTCGCAGCGGCGATCGCTTTTCGACGTGCCCGCCGCAAATTTCCGAAGGACTTCGGCCTCGAAAGCACCGTCGAATGTGCATCCGGAAATACAAAGGTCTTACACTGAATTATCATTGTATAAAAAGAAATGACGAACATCTGTACGTTATTAATTTTAAGATTTCCATAATAATTCTCTGTATTTAAATCAGATCCCATTTGCTTCTGATTTCGCGTTATGATGTATGTCGATCGTATCGAGGGCAATTTATTAACCGTGTTTCTGACGGATGCATGTTTTCAGACGCAAGAAACCACGACGAGCTGCGAAGGGCCTATCAATCAAATCAGATCGAGCTCCACGCTGGTGAGACGCGCATACAACTCGAAATCCAATCATGGTTGTCCAGCAAGCATGCGGAATCACGACTCCGACTACGATCGTTCCTACAACAAGGAGAACTCGACCTGCAGTTGCTACCGGACAAGAAACGTTGGCGAGGACATTTCGGAGCTGCAGGATGAGTGCAGTGGTGGAGACGCGGTCGATACCGTGCCAAGCAGAGAGCGCGAGGAGTTTGCGTCATCGGACGCCGATCGTAAAAATGAATTTGTGAAATTGGTTGACCGAGACAGGTTTGTAACGTCTCGGCCTTGCGATGTTTTCAGTAAATGAACTAACGGTTGGACTCTTCGTCCTATTATTGCGTTAGCATTATGAAAAGATACGACGTTTAAAAAATGATTCTTATCAAATCTCAAATGGAAAAGATGAGTTTTGAACGTTTCGTTTCTTAGGTTTTTGCATAAAGGAGACAAAGTGCTATGATTAATACATTTCGAGCTGCGTGGATTATTAGTAATTTACTAGATTTTTAGTTCATTTTTCAGCTCTCTCTATTCATCGATATTTTTCGCTATTAAAAGACACATAATTATGATGCTCCTCAGACTTCTATACGTATTTTTTTCAAGGAAGTTACGTAGTTTACGACACAATAAAAGCGTAGTATGAGGTTGTATCTCGCCTTAATAAAATGAATTGCAATGCTTGCGAAACATTTAACGATGTACCAAGATACTCAGGCTTATCCAAGTAGAACAACCAGTCATTATGATATCAAAATAATGTCAAAATGACTCTAAAATGATTATTAATAGTCATTTTCAATCATTTCCGATTCATTTTAATATAATTTTGACATTGTCGTGACACTTGCTCTCTGTAGGTATATTTAACTGAGTTCAGTTTACTCTTCATTTTTTCTAGTATTAGCATTTCATTAAGACATTATTTAACACGGTCTTAAAATTGGCATAAATATCACGACCTGAGATTACTCCTAAATCACGTAATGCATATATAATTATAATAAACACTTCCTGAAATTATAATTAATGCAGTTTTAGTCACCGAGAATTACCCAGTGACTCATACGCGGATGACAAGCTAATGAAATTGGCATGGAACTTGTTAAAACATCTCTCATAAAATCATCTCCCTTTACGTGAATGCAGATGCGACGTAGCGTTGAGATCGACGGATGATAGCGACATTGTCAGATCGATAGAACGGATCCCGCAATCCTCACATCCAACATCTTATCATCATTGTAAAGCGCGCTGCCCGTCGAGACCATGTTCGAACATGGATCCCAACCATGATGTAAATCCTTCGTGCGACTCTGCGTCCTGTGAGAAGCACGACAAAGTCGCGTGCGGCGATTTTACAGGGGACAGGAGCAAGGAGTTCGCGTCGACAAGTTGTCACGGAACATCCATCGATCTTGGTGGCAATGCGGAGAAGGATATCGTTACCAGCGACACTCGGGGCCATAGTTCGGATATCGAAGACATGTGGACGAGGGCGAATACTTTGACCAAATCTCAATCGACCCATCGGAAAATTGTAGATTCAACCTGGCGATACCAGTGCGAGTATCATCCGCGCGATGATTCTATTCCGAATCTGTCAAGATCGTCGTGTGATCGTTGCCGAAATGAGTGCTACCGTCGCTATAATTATCATTGCGATTGCTCCCATCGGTATTGCTGTTGTTCGCAACACGACAATTTGTGCATAAACATCAAAGGGTTAATAAGAGATCTTTTTATAATATATTATATTAGAGAGAATCTCCAAACGTGAAGTCACGATGTTAAGAACACAAAATGTAGATGGAAAGAACGGTTTTATTAAAGTATTCAAAAGTTTAGTTAGAAACAGATCTGAAAATAATTTTGTTGGACCGTTAAAATAATTACGTAGGAGTCTCAAGTATGATGAGCAACGCAGTAAAAAGTTTTGATATTCTAGCTATATCAATCATCTAGCTTTGAACGTCCTCTACATAATTATTTCGTTGTAAAAAAATTATTTTTAGATTGTACTTGATTAAATTTTTAGATACTTCAGCAAAACCATCCTTTTCATGTAACATTACGCATGGTAGCTGAATTGATTTGTGATGAATTTTTAAAGGATTTATATTAGTTTTTAATAGTTTTTAATAACATTTTCGACCGTAACGAGTTTAAATTAATAAATAGTAGAGCACGCAACATCCAATCCATCTCAAATTGGTTCAAACCCGTTATAACGATCGAAAATATTATAAGATTTGGAGCCAATTTCGGATTGGTCATAAAAGTTTGAACGACTGCGTATCCAGAGGAATCTTACATCTAGTTTTTTAATATTATGTATTAAATATTGATCGTCGTGTATTTCACGTATTTCTATAATGAATTTTATAAAATATCGTCATTTTAAAAAAGAAGTCGAATGAATAGGGAAGGAGGGTAAGGCGGAAGATATGTGATTGAGGGGATGAAAATGCCCTGCAGCTACAATCTCTGTTTAATTCACTCTCTTCGCATCATTCATATTGCAGATGTGAGACGCGCGAGAACGGCATCTCCGGCGAGAAAGCTCAACACAAAAGCTGGCGCGATCAGATGCGAGGCGAGAATAGTCGATTGTACGCGCGGCAGTGTTACTCGAAGGAGTATTCTGGAATAATACCCGCCTCTCGTGAACGAAACGATGAGGAACGCAAGGAGAAGAAGAACGACGACGACGACGACGACGAAGACGAAGACGAAGACGACGACGATAGCGTGGTTGTTATCAATCACAAGGACTCCATGTGCATCCTCGCTGAAAAATATAAAGCCAGCAGGAAGTGGTGCGACAGAAGGTGCGGGGATAGAGCGCAATCGGGCGACAGGACAGGGAACAAGGATGAGTGTAACAAATCGTTGACTTCGGAAATCATCGATCAGCCGCTGGCTGGATCGTCGCTGGAGATCGTAAACGCGGTTTCGCACGAGGGACCGAGGATGAGACACAGTTGCCGAGCTGCACATTGCGAGAACTGCGGAACCGCCGCGATCGCAAGAATATGTGGCCGACACGAGCCGCCAGAGGATGAATTCGACCGATTGAAGCCGCCTTTGAACGAGACGGCTGCCACCCGTTGTTGCTCAAATCGACCGCCTTGTAGACGTGTCTTCTAATTCAATTTCGTTCCACAAAACACGTTCATGGACTTTTTACCCCAATTTTTGTATTTTCTAGTTATTTTCAGCGTCCAACATTTGTGCGCGTGAACCATTGGAATAAAAAACGATTTAAAATTTATTTGAAATTTCGTGTTTTTTTATCTACATTTTAATCGCGGTAGTAGATACTGTACATAAACTGTACAGCGATGTGCGTGAAAAATTTAAGCGAAATCCTCGCGCTTTTGCACCTTTCCCTGTTTCAACCGCATTGAATTTTTTCCACGAGATACTTACTTACCCGCCGTATATTAATGCAGCGAAATAATATAGCAGAGTATTACAACGCTAAACGTTAAGAATAAAAATTATGTAAATCAAATTTTAGACAAGCCCATGAAACGGTTTAGTTCGTATTACTCGAATTAAATTAACTTTGTATAGTGGGACAATTAACTTTTAATTCGTTTTATTCAAATACGCGTAGAAGAGAGCCAGTTTCCATCTAGGAGAATTTTAAGCTTACTATACGGAAACGCGGTACGTTAACAGAATTATCGAATGTAAGCATGTACATTAAAAACCATGGTGTCTCCGGCATTTGGCTGCCTCCGGAGACGACTTTTCGCTTGCTGGGCTCTTTGTGATAGTCGTACGCTCGTTGTTTCGTTTCTTCTCTCGCACTGTTCGCCCACAGCTTCCATGTTAATTGGCTCATCTCGTTGGTCTCTGGAAAGGATTTCGTAGCACGCTTTTCCTTTTCCCTCCCGGAAAGTTCAGCTCTCTCTTCGATGCTAATATTACACGTACGTGTTTGTTTCTTCGTCACGTTCAGATTCTATTTCGATCTCTCGATCTTCTTGCCAATCTTCCGACACGCTAATCGAGTTCACCACTTTCTCAAATGATTCATCTTCCTCCTTGTCGTATTCTGTTTACATGTTTAGATGAATATAATATTTCAGGTAGCAAATTTTATTGTCATTTTAACGTCAAAAGTGACTTAATTTTGATATTTAAAGTCAATAAACAGTCAAATTTTGTAATAAAAAATCATCATTTTGATTTTCTCTTCAATGTGTTCCTTGAATTACTATCTGAGATAGATTAGTATTTTTAAAGATTTTTATATATAATAAGTCAATCCCTTTTTTTCTCCTTCTCATTGTGATATTATATTTAAAATAAATGTTTTATACAGACATCGCTTATAATACCTTGTGCCAAGCGAGCAAGTGTTAATCGATCTTTAAGAGCACGTTGAAGTTCTTCGCCAGCTTTCATCAAGTCCTCTCGATTACCAAATTCTGCGGGGATGTTCGCCCGAGTCATGACTTCGTCGAAAAGCTTCTGATGCAAATTTTTGAGGATGGCTTCTGTCACTGTCGATCTCGTTGATTCTACCGGCGATTTAGAGTTATTTTTGTTCTTGCGATACTGTCTATAAGCTTTCTATATGACATTTGTGACAATTAATGATTATTTCTTTTCAATTTTCTGTATATATTTGATATAAACATAATGTACGATGTATATGATAATTTTACATATAATTTGATTTACTTGTATAGTGGATGCAGCTTTATTTGCTTTCATTGGTGTCAGTCCTGATTCCTCGTACATCATGTTCAACCAAGCTACTACTTGAACGTCTTCTTTGGGCTCTATCATGTCTACTTCGCTTCTTTTCTCTTCCTCCTGCGATTGCATAGTCTCTGCAAGAGAATATAATATCGGGATTTGAAATACTACCCTAGTGCACCTAGAAATGCACTAGATGCAATCTGAGTGATCTTACGCATTTTCATTTTTAGGTTTTTCCTTGTATAATAGCTGCGGTAAGTAGCCTGTATTAAAATGGCGGCTTTCGACGCTTCTGCTTGCGAAGCTCCTACCTTTCTCAGGATCTCGAGAGTCCTTGTTGCCGCTCGTTGCCACGGAATTATGCCACGGGACTCGTTTAATAGCATCCTCTCATAATGCCCACGGAAAGCGGCCTGATTAATAACACCGAAAATGATTCAAAGAGCTACGATCAGCATTAAAGCTCCATAATAGAAGGTCTCTCTCTCTCTCTCTAGTTGGGTCTCGTATAGTAATTAGCACATACTTGTATTATCATGGCATACTTCTCCGCCTGTTCCAGCGAGACCCCCATCGCTTGCAGAATACTTTGCAGAGATACCTCGGATTTCTCGTCGCAAGTTGTGTCTGCGGTCGAAAGAGGAAGAATGTCTCTCGCGTACTTTTTGTCCGTTACACGTTACAGAAATACCGCGCGCGGCGGGTCTACCCGCCGCAAAATTGTTTTTCTACATAATTCACCGTGTAATTACCGTCGCGCACCTGGGTCGCTCGCATGTCTACCGCGTCCAAGTACGCGCGGAACGCCGTCTGAACCCGAAAAAAGTATGAAAGAATGTCTGAAATATTATTTAACTGCTGGATCCTTATCCGGCACGCGACAGTAAATTCTATACCTGAATCCTGGGAGCGGCGCGGGCGATCTGTTCCAAACTCAAGCCGCTCCGGCGAAGTATATCCACGATGGCTTGACTCCCCAATAAAATATTGTTTACGACTTTCACCGCGACTGAAATTGTACAATTGTACGACTGTAGAAACGCGATACACGATTGTAGTGCGATTTACGATCGTCGCGCGTATTTTACCACACGCGCGGATGATATACGCGCGGTCATTCACTGCAACCTTTGAATTAACATAATGATTCGTGGGACAAACTGGTATACCAGTACGCATGCATGTAAACATTAGTAATTAATTAGCTTAACGTTCCAATTAGCGTCTGTTTGCGAATGATATATACATAACATCAAGACATCCGAGGCTGTTGTAGTTGACAAAGTACCTTTTGCATTTTCCCGTGTGATCAAAAGGGTTTCGACATAATCAGCGACAAAGCAATAAATGTTCCTCGGTTGCGAGCGTAGAACCTTTACGGATCAGATAATAATTTAATCGTCCTTTGACGTGACGGTGGTAAGTCAAATAACGATTTCATAGAGCGAACCTCGCGTGCGATGTCGGTGCATAGTTCGCGTAATCCTTCCGGGACCTTACATATATGTTTAGCTCCATGTTTCTGGAGTAAAACGTTCATTTTCGCGATTATCGTTTCAGCCGAGTTGCTTGAATTTATCGACTCTTGCTCTTATCGCGAGTAATACGATGCGCAAAAGTTGCTAACTTTCGATGGTAACGAGCGCATTGATGAAGCTATACAGAAGCTATATAATGAAACAAGTATAGATCAGGCTACACAGTGTTGGTCCCTGAATAAAATCATATCGAGATAAAATCATTAAAAATACAAATAAATTACAATCCCATTAACTTGTTATCGTTTTATTAGCGTTAAATCGCGTTAAAGTTATTCATTTGATAAGATTATTCTATGATCCCGAGACATTTCTCGATAACGCCGACAAATTATTATTATTTATTTTGACATTGTTTTATTAACGTTTCTACGAATTTCTTTGCTATCCTCGAGCTTTTTCCTTGACATAGTGCCATTTTGCGCCGTTCGTGAAATGATCTCTACATTATCGTGGGGTATTCCACGTTGACTGGGCCTGACGTGGAACACGCGGTCAGTTTCTCGTCGACTATGAGCGACGAAAGCCATGCCAGTTACGAACGCATGCGTTGTGTTCTCGGTGACTCTGTCGTTTCTTGCCTTACTGCCGTCGCGTGAGTAACTTACATAATATTTTGATTCACTGTTGTTTTCGACGTTGTCTTACCGCTTCACCGAGTTCCGTGCGAAGAATGGCTACGAAAGTTCGCGACTTCGCGCAATGATACGATTTAATTGCGAGATTAAGCATCGCGTTCTCATTCTACGCGATACGTATCATCGTGTATCATCGAATAACTAGACAAATCTTCGAGCAATGAATGAAATTTATCTGACGTGAATGAAAAATTCGTCCGTAAAATCCGATTCGAATAATCATATTTACAACGTGCAATGATGAGAGTATTCTCAATATTAACACATATCGTGATGTTTCTTCTGTATTTGAAATTAAAATGGAAATGTGACAGAGACCAAACATAATTCCTGTTTGTCGGGTGACAATTGAATATTCATGAACTAACGCGCGACTACGAATTCCCTCACAAGTTTACATTGACTGGTTTTTGTAATATTCAAAGATCGAAGCAATCAGAGAATCCTTGAGAATTGTTTATAGAATTTATTTCTGTCTTTATGTATATATATATATATATATATATATATATGTGCCTCTTTTTTTCTTCAATATAATAAAGTCGGTGATTTTTCCATTAAGTAATTTTCTTGTTTGCGATTGACTAAATTTCAATACAAAATTAATATTAATGTTTCTCGTATATGTATAGAGAAAAATTTTCGAGAATCAGCATTTACGTAGAAATTATTCACTCTTTTAGTGCCTCTACAGGCTCGTGCGCAGATTTTGGACTATGGGTTTTCTGATCGATACGGAACAACAGCCTCGAATGGCCCACCAGGTCATTCCAAGTGGAGCGGCAACACTAATCTTTCCGGACCACCGGGTCATAATAAATGGGGGGGTGGTGGTAAAGGGTCATCAGGTGGTCGCGGTCCTCCCGGATTAGGGGGCGGCGGTCCTCCAGGATTGATTGGTAAACGTCCTCCGGGCTGGAACAAAGTGGACACCGAAAATTCGTCCGAAGGTGAAAACTATCCACGTCCAAATAGCAATGAAAACTATCCACGTCCAAATAATGATGAAAATTATTCACGTCCAAATAGTGGTGAAAACTATCCACGTCCAAATAACAATAAAAACCATCCACGTCCAAATAACAATAAAAATCATTCACGTCCAAATAACGATGACAATTATTCACGTCCAAGTAACAATGAAAACTATCCACGTCCAAATAACGATGAAAACTATTCACGTCCAAATAACAACGAAAACTATCCACGTCCAAATAACAATGAAAATTATCCACGTCCAAATAATGATGAAAATTATTCACGTCCAAGTAACAATGAAAACTATCCACGTCCAAATAACGATGCAAACCATCCACGTCCAAATAACAATGAAAATTATCCAAGTTCAAATAACAGTGGATCCATTCAAAGACCTTATCCTGATTACAATAGAGAGGGCCCCCATGGTCCAGGCGATCGCATATCCGATCGAAATGAATATCCACAGAATCGACAGTGCAGGTATATCTGACTGCCTCTCAATTAAAAATATATAATTCTTTATTAATGTATGACGGAGATGGTACTTACTTATATTCGTATTAGTAAAATAATTAACAAAAATATTTTAATTATTTTTAATCAGGGACGACGAATTTCGTTGTGGAAGTAACGAGTGCCTACCGCGAAGGGTTAAGTGTGATAATAAAAATGATTGTCGTGATTCCAGCGATGAAGAATTTTGTATGGCGTAAGCTAAATGCTTTTTAACTACGCATGTTTTTATATTAATTATGTATCTTCTTTAAATGCTGCTTCTTCGAAATTCATTACTTACGACATGGATAAATATGATAATCATACTTGACTCGGATAATAAACATACTTGATTTCATCTTTTTTTTATCATTATCTTTCTGATAGCCTTCTGAACTTCTCTTTTTATTTGAAATCTTTAGCTTTAAGTGTACAATTTTATATATTTTACATATTTGCGAAATTATAGGAACAGAAATAATGATGACAGCTGTGTTCTACCCCAACAACCAGAAGGTGGGCATTACGAATTGGGTGGTTGTGATGAACGTTGCGATAAACGTCCTGGTGATACAGTTCCTAAAAACAGCTTCCTCAATTATACCTGTAAAAGCAATTACATGTTGAAAGGAAACACCATTTCCGTTTGTGTCAACAACCGGTGGTATCAGCCGCCTTCATGCCATAGTAAGTTTATTTCAACGGTATATATTTATTTTTAGAAACATCGAATGACGTTAAGGTCTCTACTAGAAATAATATTCTTCTTATTTAATGATATTGTATCACGCGTCATATAATATAAAATTTATTGTTTATCTTCTCTGTTATTATCTTCGTAGAAATCTGTTCACCGTTGAACAGTACCAGCGTAGACATTTCCTGCAGCTACCACGGGAAAACGGTGTCCTGTAGCGAGCGTATACTGCCTGGTACGCAGGCTACACTCGCTTGTAAATCATCTTATAAATTACCTTTAACGAACGATCCAGCTTACAGAGAGCTCACGTGTCTCGACGATGGTTTATGGGATCGTCGCCTTTTTCGCTGTCTACCAGGTACTTGTCATTTGCATGCTTCCTGATACGAGGAACGAAAAACGAAAAAATCTGGACGGATTGAACGTCAACCGTGCATGTTATCATCCATTAGACCACATGACGTTCTTCTGCAGTAATTGCCGTCTGAGCGTATAAGATTACAGTTTCGAGACTTTATTCCAGCTAGTGATTTATAATCCGGCTGTTCGCCTGCAATTATCGTGCCATCGTACTGCAAAAATATTAACGACATTCTGGTTAATTAGAATGCGGAACGTCCATCGCGCACGGCAACACGTTAATCGTAAATGGATTCGCTGCCAGAACAGGGATATTTCCATGGCACGTGGGTATTTACGCCAAGGAAAATACGGACAGGTACCAGCAGATATGTGGCGGCACTTTAATTAACAACAATCTCGTCATATCAGGTAAATTATCGGGCTGGTGAATCGTCATTCTATTCTTAGATTTACTCTTGTCGCGTGTATTCGTAGCTGCCCATTGTTTCTACGATGAGGTTTACAACAAACTGTACAACGAATCACAATATGCTGTGGCCGCCGGCAAACATTATCGTGATTGGAACGCGAGAGAAAAATACGCGCAGAAATCGTTGGTGGAGAGCATCCAAGCAGGCGGCAGGTACCAGGGAGCGAGAGGTAATTTCGCCAACGACATAGCTTTATTAAAGTTGAAGACGCCCTTCGAGCTGACTACCTTAGTGAGGCCCGTCTGCGTAGATTGGGACAACACGCACGAGAGAGAGCAGCTGCAAGTGGGACACAGCGGCAAGGTAATACGGGCACCAAGTATCAATCGTGAGAACCAACTAATTGGCACGTCTTAGCACAATTTAATTAATTACAAAGGCGCTTTGTAATGTCCGAGCGAAAGTACATTTGGCGAGATACTAGTTGTAAACTGCATTAACGACCTGGTTTCGAACTAAACTTCGACTGCGTGCATGTTGGGACATTGTTACATCGTGTTCACGTTAATTGCTACGAGTGCAACGTACGCCGTACTCACGTGGTTTTGTATATTCGATCGCGAGTGGGTGGGCTGTTTAATTTTTGTAAAGTGGCTCGTTTCGACCGTCGCGTTGTTCGAGAACGAAGGTAGAATGAAATGTAAAGAGAAAATAAAAACGGACACGTGAGCTCACTTCGTGATTTCAGGTGGTTGGCTGGGGCAAAGACATCAAAGGCGAATCCACCAAGAGCTTACAGGAAATTGATATGCCGTTCGTGCCGTATGATCAGTGTTTGTCCGTGGTTCCTCAAGATTTTCGAGGATACCTCACGTCCGACAAATTCTGCGCCGGCCACTTGAACGGTAAGTTTACATATATGTAAATGTTTGCTAGATTTATTCGCTTGCTCTCATAGAGAATTTGTAAGATTATCGCAGTAATTGATAATAACAAGTAATGATGATAAATGAAGTAATGATGATAAAGAATTGTATTACGGTTGCATATCTCTGCTATCGAAAAAAAATGATTCTCTTTAGTGTTTTATAATTGTTCATAATGAAAGTAATTGCATAATTGTTAGGCTCGAGTGTCTGCGACGGAGATAGTGGCGGCGGCTTGTGCTTTGAGAAGGATGGCATTTGGTATCTTCGCGGCATTGTGAGTGTAAGCCCAGAGAACAAAGGCACTTGCGATTACAACTCGTACGTTGGATTTACCTCCATCAGTCATTTCCGTGATTGGATTCGCGAGGCCTACGTGAACGCATAAATGTTTCGTGGGATATGTGAATTGTGCCAATCCGTGAAATATATCGCCATATTATCGAGTCTGTAACGCTAGACAGTTCGATACGACGTCAAAACAAGATAACTGCAACAAAGCATTATTGACGATTATAAATCTTCTTCGCAATTTTTTAGCATCGAGTGGCAAAAACGTGAAAATGGAAGAATAGAGATTTAAAGATGAGATTTGCGCGATATAAAACTGTTGAAAACGCAATATTATCTCTGAGAGACGTTGTCGAATATGATTTATAAAAAGTTTTAAAAATCTATACTCTGTGTACGATACTCTTTTATCATAATAAAACTCTTTAATTATACTACACACAGTTGTGACGTACGTTTAGGAATCAATTATGAATACAAGGAAGTCATTATGCCTGATCGTTTCTGCGTCGCTGCATAATTACCCCCACTTTAATTTTCCACGGTCATAGATAAGTATCTTCGTGCACAAAGTGACGCAATATGATATCGCCTGTGTTTTTATATGAGTAATAATCTTGTTGCTATAATCGTGACGTTTATTGCGTTATCATGTATAAGTATATTTCCACACGTTGTTGGACATTTTTTAATATTAGTACACGAACGCGCAGATCGAGCCGTATCGAAATACAATTGAATGACGAGCGCCGTGACGGACGTCCTGCAGGACGGCTTTATCTGACAGAAATCTAAATTAGTAACGCGTCGTTTTATTTACAGCGGCGTCGCGTTATCCGTAACGCAAAGCACGGTGTCGTCGAGGATTCCTTTTGTTTTTTCGTTATTTCGGTGCGTCGTGTCCCCCGCAGGAATTTCCCAGTGGTATTGAGATTATCTTCGACGGGTATCGGTACACCCACATGGACTTTGTTTTGCGAGCTTACTGTCTCCTCGATAAATTGAGTTCCGGAGTTTGATGACGCATTGGTCGTAGTCGGAGCTATTTGAGCTTCATATTTCCCACAAATTCAACGCGATCACGTTCCTACGGTGATTATACTCGGCGAACGCACGGTAGATAATTAATATCGCGCCCCTTATTGTCGTTGGAAATAATAATTTCGTGCGAACGTGTGTATACGTATATGTATGTGTATATGAACGAGTAGTTGAATATTTCAGAGTATCCTGCGGAATGCACATAGTACGTGTGATTGTTCCAATAAGGAAGCGTGTGTATATCTTGCGAGTTTCACAATATAGACGACATACCTAACTCATTAGCTATTAATTATTTAATTAGAACTACCGTATCTTAGAGCGCATAATATGTACCGCGTGGATATATGTATCAACGGTGTCAGATACACAAGCGTATGCGTGTGTTTGTATCTGGGAACCCGCGTTTGCTCTCTGCAAGATTCATACATTAACAGGATGTGTTCGTTTGCTCATTGGTAAACCGTAGTATGATCATTACACTAAGGTTGGAGGTGGATAACCAGAACGCGTACATCGGCAAGGAAATCTAGTTTGAAACAAAGCTATTATTCGAGCTTGCGAAACGAGAGATCCGATACAAACGGGACTTTGAAAAATTACACCAGCGCGCTTGAAAGTTATAAATTTGCAATATAAATATTTCGTTAGTTTTATTCCAGAGAGAAATCAATCTGTATTTTGATCAGCTACGCGTATTTGTTATAATATTGTAATAAAATCACTTGACTTAAATACGCAACTGTAACCTTGTAAAGTTTCGTATTTCTCGACGATTTCTTCGCGTTGCTCACTTTGCAGAAATATCATGCGGATGGGTCGCTAAGGGATGGCCGGATGTCAAGATAATTGAAACAGGACGAACTTATTAACCGACACGTTTCCATTCTTTCCTTCGTCGCCACCGTCGCGACGCTTTTGTGCATTAACACCGAACGAGTGTTTTAGCGCGGCCGTTGTCCTACCCTGGATCCTGCGCAAGTGTATTTTTCTTTGGGCTTTTAATTAGTCCGGTCATTAATTAAACACATTTCTCCTTCGGGCATCCGCTCGTCGACATCCGCGTCCCTTTCCCACTGCTCATACACCTCTCTGTCCTCGTTCCCTTTTCTCTCGCGGCTACCCGCTCGCTGGCACCGCTCTTTCGCCTCTTCCTACCGGGAGCTACCTCACAACACTTCAGGAATTTTAATTTCGCCCTAACGTGTAAACACGCTGGCGCCAATTTATTTCACCATGGGGAGCGTTTTAAAAGGGAGGTTCGGGCCCAGCCGACCTCGCTTTCTCCGGCTTGCCTGTTTGTCCTTAACTTTAATTCTCTCTCTCTTTCTCTCGTTCTCTCTCTGGCAACTAGATGCGTTTCGCGATTTACGATACTGCAAAATAGCCGCGGGCCTCGATACGAAGGAAATTGAAGGCCATAGAATACCAGTAAACGACGTACCGGCAAACGACGGTTAAAAAATATTGGTAGATAATATGAGTCTTTTGCCAAACAAAAATATTATTACGTATAAAATATGATCTCTCTAACATTTCATGTCTTTATTTGTAAAAAGAAAATAATAATTATATCATTTTATATCATAACCATAAAAATAATCGACTCGATTGTCCGCCAGTGGCTGGCTATTCGCTGAAATAGTCGTTCTGCGGCAGGAAAACGTACGTTTTCTGCTCATAGCGGATAAACGGAATTGCTTCACGTCGGATGATTAGTGTCGAGCTTAACAGCGTGGAATAATGCCCGGGATTACGATAATTAAAGAGTGTGATTAGTTTTATTGCGGCCGAATGACCGTAATAAAATGAACGGTAAAAGTCTGCGGCGGGTAAGGAAAATTAACTTATAAACGCAGTTTTGTATTTTATTCACAGTTCCGTTTCCTCGGCTGCTACGAAATGATATTTCCTGAGACAGAACGACGTATATTCTAGTTTCCGATAATCGTTATAAATCGCATCATGTCGCCGCTTAATCGCGACGTGATGGGATAACCTGTTTAATGCCCTTATTTAGCGACATTATATGCGGCTAAAATGGTGCTCCTCGGGTATTCAGGTCAAAAGGCTGCGCTCCTTTTAGTTCAGCGGTGCTGGCGCAGAAAATGGAACAAATACACTCTGTGATAATTTAACTCGAGTTCGAGGGAGGAATCTTCCCCCTCACGGCCTTATCCTTTGAAATCCTTTAATGGGAATTCTTTGCGACTACTGTGAGATGACTTAACTCAGTGATAATATTATTGTACTTGGCCTGAAACTTGGGAAGGACTCTTGATACGCGAGAGAAATGAAGGTTGAGCTGTTTCGCTGGGGAAATGGTCAACCCTTTGTAACATTTTCACTTTCGGCAGAGCGCTTGGAAATTTATCAGCTTGAAGATACTCTGATTAGATTTCAATGTACTTTCAAACTAGTTTCATTATTTTTAAGAATGTGTTTCGCGGATGAAAAAAATCTATGATTAGCATCAGAATGTATATTTCGAGTATTACTGTAACAAATCTTTCAATCTTGCTAGATCTTTTTTGCTTCCATTACTTGCACCGGAATCGATTTCACGAAGCGACGATTACTTGTTTGAAATCCATGGAGGGTAAATGTTACTAGCGGCAATCTTATTATGATTCTCAATTTTCTCCGATTTATCAACTTGAATTCGTACGGTCGCTGAACTCGAATATGTGGCTTGGTGGTGCATCGACCTAGCTGGTCGTTCAAAAGAGAAAAAGAAAGAGAGAGAGAGAGAGAGAAAGAGAGAGAGAGAGAGAGAGAAAGAGAGAGAAAGGAACGATTGTAAAAAAAGACATAGCAAAAAAAGAAATTGTGAGAAGGAAAGGAACCGTACCTGGCGGAACCGTTCCGCGCGTAAAACGCGAGTAGAAGCACGAACGAAAGGTAAGATAATGGAAAGTTGGAAAGAGCGCACCGGAGACAGATGGAGAGATGTGGAACGGCAATACTTCAAATTCATTTGCGCGACAATCTCCGGTTCCTTTCGCTTCGCGGCTCAACCTGCCGTGCCAATAAAATCAGAAGTTCGCCTCGCTGAAAGAGAGGTTGGTAGCTTGAGAAACGACAAGAGAGAACAAGAGCGTCTCGATAATTATACGCATAATAGAAAAGATGAATACTATTAGATATCAAAAAGGCAGTGGTAACCCAAACCTTTGAGTTAAAACCATTTCGTTATTTTTAACTCCCATGTGTGTCAAAATGTAAAAAAATTCATTTCTGCATTGTTGAAAATATTATGAAATTTAATGTACTTTTAAGTTACACTAGTTACAACTTAATTTCATAACAATATATTAAATTTAATGTATTCAAAAAATATATTTTTGTGTGTGTGTGTGTGTGTGTGTGTACATGAAATTTAATGCATACGTTTATTATATTTAAGACTACTATAACTTAATGTTCAGTTAAACTATTAATTTTGTTTTAGTTATATCTCATAATCACAATGCTTCTATTATTTAAATTCATTATGAAATTTTTAACGGAGTGTGCAGTTATTTTTAAAATAAACAATGTTTATATGCACTTAGTAAATAATAAAACTAATTAAATTTAATATATTTTCTTGAATTAAACTCTTTAACTTCACTATTTTAGTTAATTAACGACATATTAAATAGAAGCAATGACGACTCATAAAAATAATTAAAAATAACTAAAATTATAGGTATTAAAATTAATTAAAATTGACATTATGAATCACAGTATCCCATTCCATTAGAGTCATGAATTAATTCTAATTTTACTTAATCAATTAATTTTATATTTACGTTCCAAAGATATGTATTGATTATTTACTAAAATATATTAATTTCTATAATAATTTGTCTTTATACATTATGCGCTAAATTTGATTGAGATTTCAACATTAACATGCACTTAGTACATAATAAATTATACTTGAGTCTTTAATATAGACTTTCTTTAAATTATTTAATTCCATTGTTTTAGTTAAATGAACAACATCTTAAATAGAAGTGATGACGACCTATAGAAATGATAAAAAATAACCCAAATTGAATACAATTTAACATGAATTTACCAGTAAGAAAAGGAGTGGAGGGCATGCGTTTCGTGATTCTGTAGCAGCGAAATGAGCTATATCGAATACAGCGTTTATCGTTTGGGGAGTGTCGATAGCGTGTATAAAATATTCGTGGGCCGATCGCATAATTGAGTTTCTCTTTGCCGTTTCTTCGCGGAGGAAAGACGAAGGGCGACCGGAAGGGAAACTTGAAATCGTCGCTTCGGCAAATTGCCGGGCGAAATTCGCCAAGCGCGACAGACGGGAAATGAACCTCACTGAATGCTCGCTGTCTTTCGATGGTCGTCCCCGCATTCGCCACCTTTTTGTCCGCCTTTCCGCTTCCGTCGGGGGATTGCGACGGATAACCCCTGGCTATGGTGGTGGTAAACGCGCACAAACGCCTCCCCGATAAGTTATCGCCTAATTATGAAGCCTGTGGGATGCGACGTTTGCACGTAACCCCGGTGATTATAAAGTGCACGTTACGGCCGTTTTTCACAGCTGAAAAATCTCCGCGGGGTATAAGTCTTAAAATGTAGGCAGGCAGGCGGCCCTTGATACGCTAAGCAAATTTGACGATGAAGCTCGTTTATACGCAAGGAAAAGCGCCACCGTGAAATGTCCCATCGGATTTGCCGAGGGCGTATAGGTCGAGACTTAAATAGAGAAGATAGATAGATAAACAGATAGATAGATAAATAGATAAAGCGTTTATCAAAAGTTTTAGAACAAGCCCCCTAAGAACATGCAAAAAGTGAATTTAAAAAATATAACGGAAAATAGATTATAATAAATGCTGAGTAATTTGAACGGGAAACGTAAATGAAGGTGCAATGAAAATGGAACAGAATACAATGAGTGTTGAAAAAAAAAAATCAAAATAAGGTAATACATAAAATGAACGTGATAAGTATGAAGTGCGAGAATGACAGTGTGATGAGTGTGATAAAAATGGTGATAATGATGCTCGCAGACGAGAGCTCGGATAAATGACGGTACATTAAGTAGTAACGATGATAAGTTTCAACATAGACCAAAAATAGAATAGTTGAAGATGGAAGGATTCCTAAAAAAATTCTTACTATTTACGATCCAATTCGTTTTTTTTTTTTTTTTTTGCGTCATACTCGATATCGATAAACCAGCGACGCAAATGGTCCTCAACGATGTAGCCATTTTTACGCATTTCGAACGAAAAACGCGAGAGAGGGATGACAAAGTGGATCGATCAAAGCGTATTAGACGTGACGATTAATCGCCGCCGTTATTTCCCTCTTTTCCGCCACTTCGCGTCGCGGTTCGATCCGACACGGACGCGCTTCGCTCTCGGTCGCGTTAGCCCTTTTATATTTTCATTAACCGTCATTATTCCGCCTACGCTTTGCCGCGGTCACCAGCGTGCGCGACGTTTTTCCGCACGCAAAGCGGAAGCGGACGGACGCACAGAGTGCGTGGGCGGCGACGGTCGTTACAAAGGCGCATCAAATTACAACCGGTGCGGGGATTAAAGCCGGAGGAAAAAAAAAAGAGGATAGCGTTTGCGTTACGCAAAAGGCACACTCGCGAATTCGTCTCTCTCGTCCTCTTTATATACGTGTAGATTCGGCGGTTCTTCTCTTTCCATTGCACCCCTTTCACTGCTCTCTCTTCACCACTTGCACTGGTTCACCCGTCTTCTCGTTCTTCTTTCTCGTTCGCCATTTCGTTCGATTCCCCGACTGCTCGAGCTCTTCGGTACGAATTAACGTCCTACCCATGAATCCGCTAATAAATCTCGTGAACCGCTATTACCGCTACCGTCCGTTCGAAGGAAGCTAAATCTTCGGATAAGAGTAAAATGGCCGCAAACCGGTCATCGGTTGACGAATTTATACGGTTCGAGAAGTACGGTGAGAGGAAGAGCAGCGCAATTTTGGCCAGAGCGATGCTGTGGTGCGGCGCAATGGAGGTGAGGCGCGACCCGCGGATCCGCGGTGATAATATTGATTTTTGCGATTACGCAGCACGCAGCGCGGCGCGAGTTTGCCTACACGCGCGAATACATCGTATATATATGCATCGAAAGTATTATTTATTTTATAAATAAACGTATACATATCGCGCGTATATCGCGTCTGCGTAACCGCGCTCGCGCATGAATTCGGGTATTGCGCGTCCCTTCACGCCGTGAGCGGTAATCCCGCGTTAACGGTTTGCTTCATTAATATGTTTATAATCGTAATGACGCATCACTGATTGTTAAAGCATTCTATTGTGCGCGCGTTCGTTTTAAATCATTATTACGCGGTAATATCGAGAGAATTATTAATTAATTATGCTGTGTGATATCGATAACGAGCCGATATTGTATCGGCGATATCAAAGCCGTATTTGTTGTTCGCGTTGTCGCTGTAACAAGCTGCAAGCATTGTTTTTAAAATAAAAGAGAGGCGTGATTACAACGCATAATCGAAAGCTGTAGTTCGTTCCAATAGCAAGGAACACTTAAAATTCACGGCGGTTCTTTTTTCTTCTCCGTTTTGTCTAATCTTCGAGATGACACCGTCGAAAACTTCGATAGAAGACATCGACGTTCAATTACGAAGTACAAAAGATAGCCCCGTTATTCTTGGTTACCCGTACATTTGTTTGTCCTTCATGAGACTGTCTGGGATGGATGACCATTGTTCTTACAGATTGGGGCTTTCGCAAGGATTAATGAGAATGGTTCGACCATTCGTCGAAATCCGATTGGGAAGCCCATTCAGATCGTTTAAAGCTCCTGCATAGTTACTGCATATTGGATCGTCACATTATAAACGAGAAATAACTTTGCTTGAAGTTTCTTGCATGTCATTTGTAAATAAAGAGAATTTGGATAAAATAAAATAATGAAATTGTTTTAAAACACTAGTAAAAATGGATGAAAGCTATTCTTATCGGTCATGGCAGTCCATAAACAGTTAAAAGGTGATACTTCACATGCCTTTTACGATTATTTATTATCAAAAGGGTAGTAAGGATACCTTTCGTCCATTTATATAAGTGTTTTAAGTGTTATGATTATTTTATTTTATCTACATTTTCTTTATTTACAAATCACATGAAAAAAAATTCAACACGTCATTTCTCACTTACAATGTCACGATTCAATATGCCCGACTTAGGATCCTTAAGATAATTCTTTAGTAAATTGAGTTACTGTAGAAATATCTAATTTATATAATGAAGTTGAAGTAAGCAAAATTCTAGGGTAAGTTAACGATGAAATGAGAAAACAATGTTGCAAATGTAATTTTTAACATAAATGTAATTTTTAACGTAATGACAGGTAAGGATCGGAGACACTTCTTTGATTAATTGCATACAAATATTATTGTACTAGGCTTCTCTAAAAAACGAAATTATAATCATTTAAAAAATTACGATTGTAATAGTCATAAAAATAATAAAAATCAATGACCATTTTGGAAAGATATTTACATGCATAAACTTGCAATATAAATTTAATCTCAAAAAGTAAACATAATGTCACCTTATTTGGTAAATTTGCAGCTCTTAATTTATTACGTATGTTTCATACTATTTCATTAAGATGTATATATAGTTTTAATATTTTATCCAAATTATGTATTTGTGATTTTAGGTGGGTCCTGATAAGGCACCCCAAATTTTCGGCACTTTACTAAGCATCACTTTAATATTGTGTTTTTTCCTGACATTTGAAGTATATACTTGTAACATTAAATGCTAAACAAGCTGATAAAGGAAAATAAAATGACAAATAAGATGATAAATAAGCATAGATATATAAATAAATATTAAGATACAAAAGAGTAATAAATGTTTAATGAGTTGTATTTGTTGGCATTTGAAATTTCAAAACAGTTGTTCATGTAGAAATAATCGCGAGAGAGAGAGAGAGAGAGAGAGAGAGAGAGAGAGAGAAATCAAGATCTTTTTTCCTCCGACAAACAGACCTGAGTCTAAATAGATTCGATTCCTTTTCGTTCCAACGTAAGCTGTTATTTATACGGGTGATACGAACGATTGAGAAATATTGCTGTTGAAATTCTTCCGAGGTGCAATTGGCGAAAGATGGTCGTCTCTCAGTTTCAGTGAAACTAAAGTTTTCGGATACGAAGTGGACGTGGATCACGACTTTTATGTTCTCACAACTCTTTTACACTACTTTACGCGACGCTGCGTCCAAAAATGTCGGCGTTCACCTGGCCATCTAAGGGCTTTGTGCGATATCTCGAGTTTCGAGCGCCCACAACTTTTGCTCCGATCGTAACAGTGCACTTAGACGAACACTGGATAGGTAGATAGGTGGGAGCTCGTGAAACATTGAGATACAACTAGGCGTGTCTGCGGTTCGGGGAAATTACGGAGTTAATGGAAGTCCGGGGCGAGGCTTGTTCAGTCGCGTATTAAAGAAGGAAACGGGGGAAATATCGTGAAGGGTCTCACCTTGTAAGTCGTCCTGGAGAAGGAGAATGGTCCGTTTTTTTTTGGCTAAAAATAAAATGTATTAAACCGTCCGTCGTTACTGAGAGAACTTAACAATAAATCGGTAGTAGACTCGAGAGAAGGATTTTTTAGTCCGCAGCGGTCTTACGCCATCAGAAATTCATTAATACAAGCGATATGTTCTAAAAAAAGTTTTAAAATAAAAGAAAGACGTAATTACAACATGATCACTCTTTTATTTTTTCTCTACTGAGAATTGAATTAAGAGCTTTTCGTATAATTGAGCTATCCGGACAAGAAAAGAAATTATCAACAATAAGATATGAAGTTACAACGACTATATGATACTTATTGAAAAATGATATTTTTTAATGAATATTCGGGTCGGATTTCGAAGGACGCGGTGCTGCCATCATTAAAAGGTAAAGACACGCTGCCATCTAGAATAAGGCCAGCATCAAAGCCTGTCGATTTGACTTTGATTTTGCAACACATTCGCTTGTCCGAAAGAAGCTTTGGCCAGAGTGCACTTCGAGACATCTCATATATCATATATACCATTTTTAAATCGTCTGTAACGCAAATATTCGATGTCTTAGTAATCATAATTTAATATTTTTATTAAATCAATCTAATTTTATTAAAAATCTATATAGATAGACTAATAAAATATTTAACTGTGGTATCTCCATTAATCTCCAATGGTTACCCGAAGAAATATCATTGAAGATTCAGAAGAATTCATTTTATAATTCGTTACCTGGTGGAAACAGAAGATTACTGTGATACTTGTTCAACACTTCGTGGGTTTCTTTCTTATCCAGTTGTCTGTCAGTTGCCATGGCCACAAGAGTTTGAACGGTTTGGACGGTCTGCAAATTCATTGTCTTGAACCAGGATCGAGAGCCTGAGCCCGTGCAGACACAGATACCCGAGGAACGGATCATGAACATTTTCTCTTCATCTGCCTGAATCGCCAACACGATCGGCCTCGACGCCATAAATTCGGCCATGAATACCTGGAAGTACGCGATGAATGTTATCGATCGGACTCGGCGTAGAAACGTTTTAGTCAGAGTAACCTCGTTTAATGCCAGCCAAGGTAAAATTCTCTGACGGGGCTGCAGGGCATCCGCTATTTTCCTCTGAGTGGATCTCATGAGTGCGCTGCAAAGATTTCATTTGTTTAGCGCACCTTTAGAGAGACGTCGCGAAACTCGAAAGGAATTAATGGGACGCGAGAGCGAGTTTACAAGAGAAAGAGAGATTACATGGAGACGTAATGGAATATCAAGTGCGCGACGGTTAAATTGTTTCCCGTCGGAAACGTCGAATTAAATCTAATCGTCTAACTAATTCTTTTCGAGAGTTTTTCTTTCCAGTTAATCGATAAGGGTTTAAGAAGCTCCGCATCGCACACCGTAAAATTCGCGCAAATTCAAAAGTTACGACCTCCTCTTGCGCAAGTCGTAACTACGCGGGCCTTGTAATTTACAAGTTATAACTACCGAAGTTATAACGCGCGTAAGCTGTAGTTCGGAACTTCGGTTGCGAGAAGAGGACCAAGTCGGGCTGGGCAATGAAGACGCACTGCAACGGCCTCCTCGCGAAGGCGCAGAGGGTCGGTCATACCAGCTGCTTATTTCAACTTTAGACTACGTCGTGGGAGTAGCCGGTAAATAAAAGTTTAGCGGGGAACGTCGTTCTCGCGACCGGCGCTTTAACGTTTCTCTATCTACGCGGACTATAACGGAATTATACGATACATTTTTTGTGCCGGTTTTTCGCACGCGGCGGCGAATGCGTGCGTCTCCATTTCGTCAACCTTGTTATTTCTCGTTTTTGCTATGCAGCCGTACTTGCAAAATCATTCTCCGACTATCAAAAAGCATTCAAGCTCTTATCTTTTTGTGTTACGTTAATATCGTTCCGAAGAAACTTCCTTTCCAGTTGCGAATAAAGGAAAGACGCCAACCTCGTAAGTCCTTTCTCGCCTTATTCGGCCCTATTCGCTTTAGCATACTTGATTTATTAATACTATTATTCTATAATGTACTCCAACTCGCTTCTACGACTCAAGTGAAAATGACGACTGCATCTCTGAGAGAAATACTGAGAAATTTTGCAGATAAAATGTGAAATACAATTTTACACAAGAAAAGCGAGATAAATAATGTTACGATATGGATTTAAGAGAGATATTTCTTTAAAAGAAATATTCCTTTGAGAGAAATATTTTTTTCAAATTTGCAAGTTATTCTTCCAGTATAGAACGTTGGCTAATAGAATGGAAAAAAATTACGTTAATCATTTGTACTGTCAAAGAAAATCAATCTACTCACTCGACTCTTTTTTCGCCTCGTGTGCGACTCTTTTCGTGAATATGAAAGGGCTGTTGATATAATCCTTCTCCTGTCATTACTGTACGTATACGACTCCTCATCAAGACGGTGTAATCCCCCGCATACAGTTTCTCAAATATCCTTTCGATGTCTGTACTGTATTCAATCGGCAGTGTGAAGGTACTGATTCCGGGATGCGGATTAATGCCAAATATCGGCGTTTTATTATTTGTTATCAGTTTCGAGGCCAAGAGAAAGGTGCCATCTCCGCCGATTGTGATCACCAGGTCGGCCCAATTTACGCATTTCACGTCATCTATTCTGTATTCGATCACAAATAAAGTTTTTAATTAATTAACAATTTTTGCCTTTTTTAATTAATTAACAATATTTGCGATTTTCGTCGTAAATTGGAGCATCGACCTCGGGAAATTATGTCATGGATTTTCTACTCTGAAGAAAAGCCCTACAGTAACGGCAGGTTCGTTAACTTACAAAGTAACTCGTTCATAAAGCATATTACCTTTTCATAATCCGATAACTGACGTTGAGATTACACAGAATACGCGCAAGTTCTTTCTCACAAGTGAGCTGTCGATGATGCTCCGCAAGGATCTCGTCAGGATCTATACTTTGTTTTCTCAACTGACTTAATAGCTGATTATGCGATAAGTCAGAATGCGTGATTTGAAGAAACTCGAAAGCGGATAGTTTCGAGATACCGAGCACGCATTTCGGCCAATGCCGATTGTCTCGTAAACAATTTAACAGTCTCATCCTTAACGTTTCACATATCACTATAACTTTACATGTCATCGTACAATGTTAATTCAAATTAATTATGTTTATATTAGGTTATGGTAATTGTCATTAATTTTAACCTTTTGTCGGCCAAATGGAATTTTGCATCTTCCGTCAATAACACGCTGAATTTTTGAACTTTAGTGCAGATTTTAATATTATTCTAGACTATAAAAATCTGAAAATATTTTTGTATATCTATGAAAGCTTTAGTAACAAGTTTTTAGTATCATAAAAATTGGATTGTGAAACACGGAAAATATTGCTAAAGTATTTAAAAATTTAAATAATGCAAATCTGAAAATAACTTTGTTGTATCATCAAAATAATTACATAAATTCAAGCATGATAAATAATTATTTTCAAATCTATATCTAGCTAAATTTTTAGAGATGAGCCTAAGCAAAACAATTCTTTTCGTATATTTTAATTATTTTCTACAGATTTGAATTTGTCTACCAGAATTTATAATCAAAATATCGACTGTGTTTTCAAAGTCTCTTGGCGAAGAATTAAGAAAACATCGACGATTTACGTTTATGGCAAAGGAGTAAAAATTAAACATCCTGTTTAATCAAGTAAATTGTGCGTTTTTAGAAGCGATAAATTCAGGTAATTGCATCGGGAAAACTGTTTTATTTATTAATTTCTTGAATGTGCAACGAGCGTGGAATCTTTAAAGCGATGAATCATTAGTAACATCCTCCGCAGCTCGAATTTCCAACGCCGCAGCATCTCAAACCAATGTTTCTCAGCAAGCAGCTCGTTCCGCTACCGGAACTTGCGCAACTATATATCGGTCTTTCCACACAATTGACCGCGATATCCTCCGCAAGAAGAAAGACTTTTGCAGGTCAAGCATTTACATTAAATGTACTACTAGCAAAATTTAAGCGTATATCACGTGATACTATATATAACATTTTTGCACGCGCATGTTGCATAAAGAGATAAATAGATAAAGAAATTTATTCTGGGATATCCGAGGAAGATAATTATCAATAAAATTCAGCATAAAATAACACAATAATTATTCATTAATTATTCATTATTATCAATTAAAATATTGATAATAAAATATTAATAATAAAATATTAAAATTAATGCGACCGAGAAAAAAGTATAATCTCAAATGTAACATGTAACATTATCTAGTATAAAGATTTAATCAAAATTATCGAAACAAAACTATATCATAACTATGCTGTAAACAGTTGTAAGGCATTGTATATTATTAGAATGAGATTGTTAAATTGTATAACACTTGCAAGAAAGAGCTCTTTGCAGCAACCA